TGAACAGATACTCAGTAGAACATAGGGAGTACACGAAACAGGTTCTGAGGAAAGTGCTACTGTTGCGACTGTATTTTTAGACTGTTACTCGTTTTGTTTTAGTTGATCATGCATTATGCAATTCGATAAGGCTTCTGATTATTGATCATTTACTGAATGTCAAGGTTACACTCTGGATAAGCATTGATTGGAGAAAGCGAGTATTTCGTTTATTGGACGAGATCGATTTGAATTTATTGGTTTTGAAATCAGCGCGACTGAAACAATTTTACAGGACAATCATGGACAAAGGTAGACAGGACGATAAAAACCAAAACTGAAAAAATAGCGCAAATCGTTCTCTAAAATTTTCAGACAGTTTAATACGCAATTTAATCTGAAATATGTGCAAATTTCGAGGAAAAATATGCATGAACGTTGTCAAAAATACACGTTATATCAAGGAAAATTTGGCAGCTCTCGAATGTTCATACGGCGTTTTTCCCTAGCACGGCAGAGTTACGTTTCTTAGTCCCGAAAACTACGATTTGTCGCTCATTTGACCAATGAGAACGCGTCAAAATGCATCGTTTTCGTAATAGTAGCGATCGTGGAATGCGGCACAGCATCACTCAGCGCCGCCGATCCAGTAACCTCGAATCCGGCGATAATCCGCTCATGGCATTAGCTCGGCGCTACGGTGAAGGAGCCTGGCCAACAGCCAAGAAGTCGCAGGTTCGAATCCCGACACGTGAATGAGCCGAGATTTATGAGACGCGCGAGGGGTCGGCGCTCGGCTCACTCTCGGTTTCATCCTCCTAATTTGCATTTTTCTTTCACTCGTTACGCGCGGCGCTAAGGTCAATACCACGCTGATGGTGCGGGTGCTTGAACTCGTGATGCAGCAACCTGAAATGCAGCCATGGATTACGTCAAAAACGCGAGGAATCTTGCCTCTGAACGTCAAATTAGAGTACTTTGATAGAGTATTGCCGTGTGGATATGAGTGTTTATTCGCCCCTCTATCTTAGAGTCCCTTTATACTGAGAGTCAAGACAACACCCCCACATGGAGTCCCAAACGGGAATAAAGATTACAGAAATTGAACGTTTTTCGTAATCTTTGATCGGCCCATTCTCAAATTCCTCTCTCCGTTACTTCTCTCATTCCGTTTGTTTCTTGCCGAACCCATAATTCCCTGGTCCGTTTCAGGACATAATCTTTGCAGTCGGTGAAAATGTAATCTTTATTCCCGTTTGTGACACTCTGAGGGTCTAAAATACAGGAACCAATCAGAAATGGATTCTCATTGTCTTGACTCTCAGTATAAAGGGACTCTACTCTATCTTGAGCTTCATGGAGGTCTTAGGACTCGGAAATGGCGCGGCGGATGCTGTAAGTAAATGTATGTTCCTCGTGGACTGGAGTGACTGGAGCGCCTTCAATTTTTCCACATGCAACACGCGCGTCCATAGAGTGCGAATAGTTGTATCAAAGCGTTACAATTAATATCATTTGAATGTGTGACTTCTGTTGTCGGAGATAGTAGCATAAGAAACCCCGCCCGTCTATTTCTAACCGAGTATCTCTTGAAAAGTCAATTGAAAATGTGCCCATCAGAAAGTGTTGACACTTTGAAGTTCTTCGGTAAAAAACAACTTTGCTGCATCTTTTTTTTTTACTAAGAGAGGCAGAATTTGAAGAAGCTGATGTTATTCAAGAATTAATACTGCTGTTGACACTACAATGTAGCCACGCTGTAATGCAAAAAAGAGCTTTGATTTCAGGCTAACAGTCGGTCGTCCTGCTTTCCATTTTTCCGCCTCAAAAGATATGCTATTAGATAATTAGACTGCATTTTGCAATCCGGAACCATTATTTTGAACTCATCCATAAAATCACGTATCTGCTTGGAGAAACTAATGGCACACGAATTGTTTCTAAAATGAGCCGTGGTTCCCAATTGCAAAAAGAATTCCAATCTGTAAACACAGACCAAATATACGAGCGAGTGGAGATCATACGGATAATATGTGGAGATCATACGGATAATACGTGGAGATCAATCAGTAATTAAGACGTTGTTTTGACATCATCATGACCTCTAGTCGACAGAGGGAAAGTCTCAGTAGCGGGGCGTGTTTTGCGATATATCGATTGATCTGCCATTTAAACCTATGAAAAAGGATAGATTTCGATAAAAAGGCGTTCGCAACGAACGCTTTAATAAATAATAACGCTTATAAAAAAAAATAATAACGCTAATAAATAAAAACGCTTTAATCAATCCTTATTTACAACGGTTTCAAATGGGAGAAATGTCGATAATTGATCATTCAAGCCTCGCCGCTGCTCAAAGCGACTTCGTGGGCGTAAGTCGCTACACTTTAATCCTTAAAGCGCAGTGATTTTTGGAATCAGTCACCGAAAATCTTTCCTCTTCGGCACTCCACTTGCAGCAATAGCGCATTAATCCGTAAAAAACCAGCCCACGCTAATTTCGAGAACAGCACGGGTGGTCTGGTCGTCGACGCGCATTATTGAATTTGTTTCTGCGCAAAAATTTAAAAAAAGAAAAGCTGTCCACTTAGAAGTAGAGAAATGGGCTCGTAAAACCTGATTTAAAGGAATTTTTCATTCTGCGATTTTATTTTTTAGCGAATAAAAAACCGGGTCCTAAATTAACATGCAAGGAAAATGAGCGATTTCAGCGCATTTTATGTTTCTGGAGCGACAGGTGGGCTGGCTCTGGCCAGTAGCGTGGCGTGCTTTGCGATATACCTATCGATCTGCCATTTAATCCTATGGAAAAGGATCGATAAACAGGGTGTTCGCAACGAACACCTTAATAATCGATTTATCACCATAGCTTCAAATGGAGATAAATCGATGATCGGTCATTCACGCCACGCCGATGGCTCTGGCCCTGCTTTTTCATCGCTCCATCTCTCTCTGGGTGAAACTGATTGCCGGCAACCAAAAGAGTAGTGTGCCCGCGAAAACAGTAGATTTAAAAATGCCCGATACGGAAAACGTTAACTGGACGCATTTATGCCAAAAGGAACTATGTCTCACGCAAAATCTATGCACATAGTTCCTTTCAGCATAAATACGTCCAACTGTGAGTCTCAAAGTGATTGTTAAAGATATTCCTGATGTACCTAACGTGGTTTTCATGCTACTATAACGCCTTAAACTGGACTCAAACTGTCATGTGTCTCATGACATTGTTTGCCTAACGAGGGAACGTAATCCCACTCCAAGGTTGCAATCCAAAATTTTTGAACAAGAATGTACCTGTACAGTTTTCGTCCAAAATGTTCCTGATTTTGGCATGAGATCAGAGAAAAAATCAGAGAAATTTTCAGTTAGAAATGCTCATGATTCTCCTGGAAAAAATTCCATTTACCAGGGGAAATTTCGCAACATTACGATGTAGCCACGTTGTTTCATGAGACAAATGGACTGCATTTTGCAATTTGGAACTATAAATTCTAGCCCGGTTTAAAAACAACGTATGTGCCATTAGTTTTCCTATGCACATAAGTGTTTTTCCAGAAGAGCAAGAATTTGTAGTTCCAAATTGCAAAATGCAGTCCAAATGTCGATGAGTTCAACAGACCAACAGCCTGCGAATAAAAATTGTCTCATGCAACGCAAGAAGTCGCATCTTTGTAAGTTGAAACGAGAAAGAGAAGTTAGAGGTTTCATTCATCCATAAAACATAATGTTTAAAACAAAGAGTAATGGTGGTCAAAATATTTTCTCTCGGCTTTGAATTTACGACAGGAGACAAAGTGCGACTAAAGTTGAATTCAAAACTACTCTAGACTTTATTTTTTCAAAATGAGACTATGGTTCGTCTCTGTTAAAGGCGCTCCGTAAAAAACTCTTTCAGTGGTCACGATAGTTTTACAGTACGTCTTGAGATTCAAGCTTTAAGCCGAAAACTAAAACTATATTAGCGCTGGGGCCGAATTTGTCGGTCCTTCCACCGTGCTTAGATATACTTAGGACGGGACTCGAGACTGCACTTAAGTCCGGCTTAGCGCTTCTGATTGGCCGGTGGTGCGGTTTGAACTCATCGATGGCTGTTGCACTCCGTGTGAAAAAGCCGACAAAATTCGGCCCCTGGAGAAGGACAAGATTGAACGAACGTCACATCAACCATCAATTGGCCTATCAGTTAGCACATAAATTCCAGTTGAATAGAGTCATTTTCTGATGTGACATTCGTCCGATATTTTTTATCCTCAGCTCTTATAGCTGTTGATTTTCAAACTTTCCGCTATGAGCGCACTTTCCAATGAAATAGATACTGCGATTGGAACAAACAATACACGAGCTGTACTCTACCCTATTTACTACGTTGCCGTACTGAGGAAAAACGCTATGTGAAGGTTCGAATCTGGTATACTTTTCCCCGATGAAACAATTATGGCCGGCAAAAGTAATACATAGTTACATTGAAATGTGCAGGTACTTCAGACCGAACTGCGAATAAAATTCTCTGAAAAATTGGAAGGAAAATATTCACATGTTTCTTAGAGAATTCTCGTTTCAGTGGCAACATCCGAAGGGCCCATGAGGCGTTTTTCCTTGACACGGCTGCACACTGAAAAAAAAAGATTGGTAGAATTTACCATTCCTTTACGCTGTATTTCACACAGCGTTAATTCAAAGTCAATTCTGTCAGAAGAAAGGTAAACGCTACTATATACTGGAACATGCAACCGTTCCTCTGGCAGAATCGACTTGAAGATTGGTAGAATTTACCATTCCTTCACGCAGTGTGAAATACAGCGTGAAGGAATGGTAAATTCTACCAATCTTTTTTTCAGTGTAGTACTCATGACCATCCGGGCATATTTCGTAGTTCCCCGGACGAGGAAGATTCATACGGCGTTTTTCCTTAAGCATGGCATAGGGTTTGCGCGCAACATAGTTCTTCCTGATGTAAATAAGTCGGATTTACTCGAAACACATGAAAACCAAGAGGATGTAAGCGCGGTGGTACTCACCGAAAGCTCGCTCTCTTCAACGTGCGACTCCCATAGATATTGCTCAACAGGTGGGTCAGAACGACGAGAACACTCTGCGATAACGAAACTTTGAAACTTTGTGCGGACGACTCGAGTTGGAAGCACTCGAAAAAGCGAGGAAATCGCGGCACGAGGAAAGCACTGCGCGAGAACGACTGGAGGCTCACGAGGCGAAGCTCAGTCCAGGCGGAGGCAGGAGAGTCCCGAGGTTGCCGGGTCGAACGGCCAAGACCCACGCCAACACACGCCCAGCGGAGTTTTGATGCACGATTCGGCAACAGCGCCCTCGGGATCAGGACTGGGAGCGGAGCAGGGCGCCGCGCTGATTGGTCCGCGCCCGTGTGGGATGGATGGGGAACTTTGTGACGTCACGGGTCCCGAGGAGGCAGCAACCGGCTCCGGCAGCGGGGATGCCGCGTCGCCAGGAATCCGGCTCACCGGTCTGCATTTTTGGGATTCATCGTCAGAAAAGTTTTTTTTTTTTTTTTTTTTTTTTTTTTTTTTTTTTTTTAGATGATTTTGGGGCGTTATATCTTAGAGTCCCTCTGTACTGAGAGTCAAGACAACACCCCCTCATGGAGTCACAAACGGGAATAATAATTACACAAATTAAGCGTTTTTCGTAATATTTGATCAGCCCATTCTCAAATTTCTTCCTCCGTTCCTTCTCTCATTCCGTTTGTTGTCCTTGCCGAACCCGTAATTCCCTGGTCCATTCCAGATTATAATCTTTGCAATCGGTGAAAAAGTAATCTTCATTCCCGTTTGTGACACTATGAAGGCCTAAAATACGGGAACCAATCAGAAATGGATTCACATTGTCTTGACTCTCAGATGTATGAGAGGGTAGACGTGTTATGGTAGGTCAAGGGGATGTGTTAGTTTACTGCTGTTAGTTGAGGGTTGGTAGGGTAGATTGAATGACGGTATGTTGAAGTTTTTTTAGCCAATGTGCGTTTAATTCAGCATAAAGCTGATATCTCACTAGAGGAAAAAAACTCACACACAAGCACAATTTTCCCTCAAGGAGACGCGCTGTTTGGTGCAACACTAGTAACAACCATTCAGGAAGGCAACTGCTAAGCAGACGCGTTTCGGTCTTGTTGGGTCAATCCTCAGTGCAGCGTAGTGTAGTGGTTGTTTCAAGTGTTGCACCAAACAGCGTATCTCCCCTGGTAAAAATTGGCAATAGAATGTGTGTTCCAAAATACTATAGACCTAAAGCCGGCTGTAAGATTTCCAATAGCTTCTGTAGCCGGCTGTACAATTTCTTACAGCCTTTTATAGCCGATGGCGATTAAGCAACAGCCAGATGATAAAGTTTATGCTAAACGTTACTAAATACGGATACTAGGACTTAGTTTTTGGACTACCGCTCTCTTTTTGTGCCGTAGTATCTTGATTTATTTTGCGAGGAGAGCTCCGTACTTTTGAAGGATGCCTGTCATTCTTAATATGTTGGAGCGCCTTCAATTTCTTATGATGCTGTGCAATACCTCTGGTGTGAAATAGTTGCTTCAGACGCCCTGACACGCTGCGGCGCGGCGGGCGGGCAGAGAGCGCTTGCGCAATGCGTGAAGTATCCCTGTTAGGTTTGTAGGCGCCAGTGCGTCGCCGCGCAGTGCGTGAAGTATCCATGTTAGGTTTGTAGGCGCCAATGCGTCGCCGCTCCGCTTTGTGTCAGGCTCTAATATTTAACCTCGCAGAGTTAGCGTTTTTCAACTCATGATTTTGAAATGTTTGCACACTCTGTATGAACCATCTCATTTTAATTGATGAAAAAATGATATGTTTTAAAGGCAAATATAATGTGTGTTTTGTAAATATTAAGGTAGTTCCGTATCAAACTTAATGATTTCCAAAGCACACGAATTTCTACACAATTTCTTATAGACTTTTATAGCCAATGGCGATAAAGTATAAAGCCCGGCGATAGGAACTATAGCCCGACTGTATACTTTTTTATAGCTTCGTACAGCCCGGCTATATGATTTGCTCCGCTTTCTATAGCCAGCTATATAGTTTTCAATAGCCTTCTTTAGTCAGCTATAAGAACTCCTATGGTATTTTGAAACACAGCTCGTATCGCCAATTTTTACCAGGGTCTTTGAGGGAAAATATTGTGCTTGTGTGTGAGCTTTTTGCCTGTGTAGTGAGATATCAGCTTTATGCTAAATTTAGCGCACGTATTGGCTAAAAATTCCAACATACCGTCTTACGACCCGTGCGTCCGCACCGCAATCAGTTCGTGTGGATTGAATGAGTTGACGATAGATCGATTTGTGTTGGGGTTGTCAGAAAAGTTGTCTTGATTGTTTTGAGTCAAAATTTCCGGAAGAGTGCGTTACCTAGATGTAGGGACAGCCCTAGAGTATCATTCTATCATTTCTGGTAAATACTGCAGCTGCATTGAAATGCAATGTTTTTGGGCACAACTGCGTAAAAACGGCACACGCGAATTTTTAGTGTACTAAACATAGTGGTACATACTCATACTTACATACGTGTTGGAGAAATATAGTTAGTTCGCTACATAGCGATGCGTTCACACCGCCCTTGGTTTCTAACGTATACAATTAACATGGTAGGCATAATAACCTTTCGAAGCATAGCAATTCAACCAAGAATTTGTCAACAGAAAAGAGAATTTAAGTCATTTTATGTGGCATTCAGCGACGAGGCATCCTGTAAGTAAGTACCAGCATCGTTTCAAAATTGTCTTCAATGTTTCGTTTTTTAAATGCTAAACCGTCGAGATCATTTCCTATACTTCAGGATAGGGGTCTACTTCGTCAAAAATGGCAAAAAAAGCAATACTTAATTTACGAGAGCGCTCCATCCAAAAATTCTTAGAAATAACTCCCTTCCCTTTCAGCTAAAAAATTCTAGCTACGTTATGCATCCATGCCGATGAACATTGGGCACTAAAAGACGAAATTTCAGTACTGCTCAGGTCGAATCGGATGAAAACATGATTTTAAGCTCTTTGTGAGAGCTTAAAACGAGTAATCTGGCAACAATGGTAGCGACCAGGTGATTACGGAAGGATCAAGCCGGTGCGCATAGTGCGGGCCGCGTAGGTGTACAGCTACATCCACACTACGGCCATGGTTCCCGGGGAGCTAAAAGCTATGCATGCACGTTGCCATGCCGGCCTGTAAATTACTCTGAAAGACCCAGAGTTACGAATGCTTCTGCAATGTAGCATGCAGTTTGACGAATGTGACCGGCGACATTGCACGATGGGCATTCTTTCCGATTTTTCCTCTCGAAAAGGGAAATCATTGATGAATGTTTCCATTTCCCGGTTACAGTGCATGGAGATGGAGAGGTGTTACAGTCATGGGCGGATGTAGGAACTCTTTGACGAAGGAGCAGACGTCAAAGGGGTCTGAGGGGACACGGAAAGACACCCCCCTTCTCCTCTGGCGTCACCGCCGCAGGAGTTCCAGAGACAGGGGGGATTCAAAAGTTTCCCAGCTCCAATGAAGGGGCCGGAGAGCCTCCCCAGAAAAATTTTGAAAAAATGAGTTCAAGGGTAATTTTGAGCAATTCTACCCGAAATGTGACATTGAATTTCAAAGATGAGATATAACATGCATTTATTTAGCAGAATTCTTCACATTCTCTGCACCGTTAGAGAGCATTTAGTGTGCAAGGCAAGGAGTGGGCGCAGCGAGGTGCTTTCAAGACTTTCCCCTAACTTATGGTTCACCCCCCCCCCCCCCCCCCCNNNACCACCACCACCAGAGAAAAATTTGATCAATTGCGATAAGAACGATGCATATTGTGCTTTTGGGGTCATAGTTAACCATTGGTGTCAGCTCTGTAGATAATACAAAGAGGGCCATGGCCAATGCCCACTGTTCGAGGGAGGATCCTTAAAATCCTCTGTTAAGATTGATGTCTGTAAGTACCTGAACATGAACAATACTTCAAATTATGTTCTCAAATGCGCACGTATCCACTTATTTTCTGTTGTTCAAATGAGAGATGCAACAGTTTTAACCGTGTGAGGTGGCTCAAATTGCATGCCCGGAAAATGAAGGGGCACTTTCCTGACAGCTCGCATATTCACTTGGGTAGCCTGTGAGGTTAATTACAGACGCAAGGAATGGAAAGAAATAGCCATGTGCATTCAGATATGAGAGATGACATTTTCACAATTATAAAGTAGACTTAGAATACCTGAAAAAATGACTCTATATTGCTTGCTGAAAAACGCCAATGGAGATGTTGCACGTGTGAGGAATTTGCGATTTGACTATTGATTCTTATGTAGAAGTTTGCGAGAAACACGATGGTGCCACTGGTTTCCTCTGAAATCAACTCCCGAGCTCAAAAAAAGCTCTCAAGTTGAGGCTAAAATGGAGAAGATATCCCACGCTATCCTAAGAGTCCTAAGAGTTTTCCACAGAACTTCAACACGCTCTTTTTCATTGTACCTGAAAATTTAGAGGTTTTACGCTAGGAAAAACATATTTAATCGCGGGAAATTTGACATCATCCGAATCCACATATGACGTTCCCCTTCGGCGCGGCAATATGTAATTCAAATCAAAAAATTCGATTTGGCAGCGTGATCCTTGCAGCAGTGCTCGTAAGTGGAGTTGTAGTTAATGGTACGTCGTTCATTCATTGTTTCAACTCGAGCGCTCATACCACTATCCCCCGTCCCCCGGTCCGCATCCCAGGTTGAAATGGGGGGCCCCTGGGGTGGAGGGGGGGGGGGGGGGTGGACGGGACTCAACTCTGTTTTCTGTTTCCGTTCGACGGGAATCGATCGTCGATCGCTCAAGGTCGACCCCCGGGGTGTCGAAATCGCGCGTTTTAAAAATATCGACGTGCGCTTCGTCGGACCGCGCGACGCAGCGTCTCGGCACGTCACGTCATTCAGCGCGGAATGTTCAAAATTTGCCGTTCCCTGGACGAAAGAACGCAAGTCGGTCCAAGGTTGTCGAAGTGAATTAAATGGACGTATTTCTGCCAAACGGAACTATGTGCATGAAGACATGAGTCCTGAGACCCATAGGAATATATGCATATCAGGGCTCATGTCATAATGCACGTAGTTCCGTTTAACAGAAATACGTCCAAATCAGCCAATGGGTCACTAAACAATGAGCGAATTTTGACTTACCAATACAATTTTCCAAGAAGGACGCGTAAGGAACGTCGCGCACACTAAAAACGCGAAAAAACGGCTCGGAAACTGAGAAATACGCAGTTCAAAAAGCGCAATTAACTTTAACGCAAAATTAAAACGCCCCGGTTTCGCGCCAAACCGAATTATGTCATCCGCACCAATCAGTAGGGAGCAGCGTTTTTACGACTTCTGTCAAATGTCTTTCTACTCCTCGTAAATCACAAATCTCAAAAATCATACTTGTCAAATCTTGGGCAAAAATTACACGGTCTAGCGGTCAGCACGTCTGACTCAAGGTC